GAGGAACTGTATAGTAGAGTGTAGTGATAGATACCAGTCTCCAGGTGCTCTACTCTACAGGAGAAGCTACATGGGCCAATAGAGGAACTGTATAGTAGAGTGTAGTGATAGATACCAGTCTCCAGGTGCTCTACTCTACAGGAGAAGCTACATGGGCCAATAGAGGAACTGTATAGTAGAGTGTAGTGATAGATACCAGTCTCCAGGTGGGAGGCCATTGAGAAGAAGGGAAAATGAACTTTTCACAAATCTGCATCTGTGATGGGTTAGGGCCCTTCATGTGGCAAGCAGGACCCCCGAAGTGGATCCCAGGTTGTAAAAACAAAATGTATTATTGAGTATTTCGGTGTTTGTGCTGGGATACTGTATTGTAAATGATCTAAATTGTGTTGATGAAGGGGTAAAATCACCCGCGTTGAAACTAAAAAGTGTTTATGTTGGGTTTGTTCTGTCCCAGGTCCGGACGCTATCTGACCACCGGCAACCACGACGGGAGTGTGGCCTTCTGGGACACCCTGCTGCCGGGGGAGGAGGTCAACGGGGAAGTTTTCCTCAAGCCGTGCTCGCAGTTCCAAGCTCATGAAGACTGTGTCAATGGTGTCAGGTGAGTTAGGGTTAGGTGGAGTGGGGATGTTTTGTCAATGGTGTCAGGTGAGTTAGGGTTAGGTGGAGTGGGGATGTTTTGTCAATGGTGTCAGGTGAATTAGGGTTAGGTGGACTGGGGATGTTTTGTCAATGGTGTCAGGTGAGTTAGGGTTAGGTGGACTGGGGATGTTTTGTCAATGGTGTCAGGTGAGTTAGGGTTAGGTGGACGGGGGATGTTTTGTCAATGGTGTCAGGTGAGTTAGGGTTCGGTGGACGGGGGATGTTTTGTCAATGGTGTCAGGTGAGTTAGGGTCAGGTGAGTTAGGGTTCGGTGGACTGGGGATGTTTCTTTTGTCCTGTTTCATGACATTTCCACGTCAGGTAGAGTAGTAAGTTTTTATTTTTAGCACGGATGCTGATTTTCCAGGGTTTTTTCCATATATTTCACTAGAAGCTGTTATTGTAAGTCTTAGGCATTTAAATGTGTTTGTATGTAGGCGATGGGTGGTTGGAGGGTGCTCTGGTGTGGTTTGCTCCTTCTTTCCTATCAAACATCTATTTTCCTGATCTCTCCTCCTTCTTTTCTTGTGTTTGTTACTCTCTTGTATCACCTCTAATCTTCGGCACTTCTATGACCGTATTGTAAAACTTTTACATGAACTAAAGCATGTAGGCCTATAGTCAAAGTTTTACTGGGCTCGCAACTGCGAAGCATTTGTTTTCTGTTTAAACCCTTATACATTAGTCATTAGTCTGTTACCTGTCTTTTCGTTTGCAAATGCATCTTTCTAAATTGTAAAGTATTTTCATAAAATCCCAATAGTATCCCTGTTTTAGTGTAAGAGTTGCAATACGATTAGGTCACAGAAGGGCAACACATCAGAGGTGTTGAGTATTACGAAGAAAAGAAGGAGGAGGGATAAGGTCAATAGATGTTTGGTAAGGAGAAGCGAACTACACCAGAGCCCCTGGCAACCCCAAGGTTATGGGAATGGACTTGTGGAAAAATACATGTTGGACTTCGTCTTGGGACGCTTTTAATTAATTAACTCTGACAAGTTGAACGTCTCTGAGCTTCTACTCATGTGGGATAGAGCTCTATAAATAAATGCAATCTACTATTGTTATTATTATTATTTTCTTCGTGTTACAGCAAGTTTAGTTTAAAATATGCATACCTCAGCATTTTCACGATGAAAGAGATAGTCTTCAAGCTACAAGCTTCTCTTACCCACCCATGTTTTAAGAAAAGTATCAAGATTAGACAACAAGAATGAAGATTAGACAACAGGAATGAAGATTAGACAACAAGAATGAAGATTAGACAACAAGAATGAAGATTAGACAACAAGAATGAAGATTAGACAACAGGAATGAAGATTAGACAACAGGAATGAAGATTAGACAGCAGGAATGAAGATTAGACAACAAGATTGAAGACTAGACAACAAGAATGAAGATTAGACAACAGGAATGAAGATTAGACAACAAAAATGAAGATTAGACAACAGGAATGAAGATTAAACAACAGGAATGAAGATTAGACAACAAGAATGAAGATTAGACAACGTGAGGACACAGTCGCCTAGTGGGCAGGTACATACTTGTCACATCATCATAATAATAATAATGATAATGATAATAATAAATAGCTTTTGTATAGCACATAATCCCTCTCTACAGCAAGCTCTATGCGTGTTACACTACTATACACCCCAGCAGACCATAGAACAATCAGAAACATTCTCAGCTTCCCGGGAAGCATACAGTGCAAGCAGCTGATTAAGTGCTCAAACGCTAACAAACTGACATAATCTTTCACTATGTCTAGCTGGTTACCTATTCCCGCCTAGGTGAAGTAAGGAAAATTTCTGTAAAGTGCCTTTCCCACAGACACAAAGTCAGGCCCTTGACGGGATTGGAACCCACGACCTTATGGTTGCAAGTCTGAGAGCCTAACCACTAGGCCACCCACTAAAACCACTCTTATTAGATTGTCTTGGAGACCTAGCGTAAACGTGCTCGTCTCGCTCATCTGGAAACTCACGATTAGTTGGACGTCAGGTTGGCCATTAGTTGGACATCAGGTTTGCCATTAGTTGGACGTCAGGTTGGCCATTAGTTGGACGTCAGGTTGGCCATTAGTTGGACGTCAGGTTGGCCATTAATTGGACGTCAGGTTGGCCAGCTTTTGAGCAGGAAGGGGGTGTACCAAATTCTTCATCAAGTATCTCAGTCTTTGTGCTAGGACGTTTCCCTCTCAGCACAGGTGGGCTCTGACAGGCCGGGTAGGAAGCCCGCCTCCTAGATGATCTAAATTGTGTCGATGAGGCCGTAAAAACACCTGCATTTTTAGTTTTCATTTTGCCAGTCTCACTGTGAGTCATTTTTTGTTTTCACAGAAATTGTTCAATATTATGTTCTATGTATACACGGTACACCTCTCTATACACGGTACACCTCTCTATACACGGTACTCCTCTCTATACACGGTACACCTCTCTGCTATGTATACACGGTACACCTCTCTATACACGGTACACCTCTCTATACACGGTACACCTCTCTCTCTCTGCCTCAGAATTACACAGTTTAATCTGCTCAGTATCGAGTCTTGAGAAATTTGTCCTAAAAAATGTTGTTTCATATGTCAAGCCTTTTTTAATGCAATTCTTGGAATATCTTGACAAAGACTCTGAATAGTCTAACGGTTTCTAGAAAACAAATAGAACCTCCCAGTTTTAGTTTCTCAAAACGGCCAAAAATGTCAGATAGAACTTTATCATTCTAAGGTCGGGGCCTGTCAAGAAATGATAAAATATGACATAGCTTTGACTGTAATGTGCATTAAGTATTTATTATTTTAGAAAATGAAAATACGTCCTAGAAATGCTAGTTATTCTTCTTCATGATGTTTCCTTTGGTTTCAGTTTGAACCACCAGCATGGCATTCTGGCCACAGCCTCGGGGCAGAGACACTTCAATAACTTCCAGAACTACGACAGTGACGAGACTGATGACGAGATGGACGCGGAGGAGGTGCGCGACTTTTCTCTCAAACTGTGGTCACTTTCTGCTTCTTCCCAGTCGTAGAAACAGTGAATGTTGTTGTCCAGTTGATTCAAATTTCAGAAACAAGTTTCAAAACCACACACACATGCATGAACTAATTTCTACTGTTCTAGCTTAACCACTAGAGGCCAAAATGTCTCTCAAGTGGTTTCATATGTGTGTCAAGACGCGATGGAATCAGGTACTACTCTACTTTTGGGCATGTGGGGTCATTGGTTGTATCTTAAAGCTTGTTCATTTGCCTTGCTTTCAATGCAAAAAATATTCGTCTATCTTAAATAGAAGCCAAGATATTTACAATTGAAGGTGTTGGGGGTCACCTTGTTTCAGATGATTGTTTCAGACGTAAAATCAGTGAAAAAATGGCCGCAAAAGTTTGGAGACTCCCAAAGCTCGAGAGTCATTGAAAACTGAAAATTTGCATTTCTTGTTCCTTTTAATCAACTTTTTCCAATAAAATTCACAGATATGTTATTAAATGGACTTAACAGGTGTTGAGCCAAAAAACAAAAATTCAATAAAAATTGCCAAACGAGTGCTGATTTCTTTGCTTTCATTATTTTGAGGAACACCTGATGTCACCATAATGCCTCACATTATGGAGCATGAGTCATTCTTCTTCTTGTCTCAGGGGTAGTTGTGGGTGGTTGGCGGATGCTCTAGTGTGGTTTGCTCCTTCTTTCCTATCAAATGTCTATTGATTTTCTTTGTATGTTTCTAGTAACACCTCTAATCTTTGGCACTTGTATGGGTTATTTGTGTTAAAAGTGCTGTCAAATTGTAACTAAAACCAACCTGAAACTTATCAGGGTGGAAGCCATAGAGAGATGGTCACAACCTAGACAGATTGAATGATGTATTAGGATATACCAGTATATTAGGATATCCCGTAGTTTTCTTGTTGGAAACTTTATTTATATATGTACATGTAACTGGTATATGTGAGTGTGTGAATGTTTGTCTTTGTGTGTGTGAATGTATGTTTGTGTGTGTGTGTGAGAGAGGGAGAGAAAGTTAGTTCATCCCAACTGACGCACTGATGCTTGTGTATGTGTGTGTGTGTTTGAGGAAGAGAGAGAGAGAGAGAGTTCATCCCATGAACGCACTGATGCTTGTTTATGTGTGTATGTGTGTGTGTGTTTGAGGAAGAGAGAGAGAGAGAGAGTTCATCCCATGAACGCACTGATGCTTGTTTATGTGTGTATGTGTGTGTGTGTTTGAGGAAGAGAGAGAGAGAGAGAGTTCATGCCATGAACGCACTGATGCTTGTTTGTGTGTGTATGTGTGTGTGTGTTTGAGGAAGAGAGAGAGAGAGAGAGAGTTCATGCCATGAACGCACTGATGCTTGTTTGTGTGTGTGTGTGTTTGAGAAAGAGAGAGAGTGAGAGAGAGAGAGTATAAATTAGTTCATGCCCACGGACACACTGAAGCTTGTGTGACTGACTTGTGTATGGTTACATATTTGTATGTGTGTATCATTGTGCATATGTGTGTATCATTGTGTATATGTGTGTATCATTGTGCATATGTGTGTATCATTGTGTATATGTGTGTATCACTGTGTATCATTGTGTATATGTGTGTATCATTGTGTATCATTGTGTATATGTGTGTATCATTGTGTATATGTGTGTATCATTGTGTATATGTGTGTATCATTGTGTATCATTGTGTATATGTGTGTATCATTGTGTATCATTGTGTAT